CATTTAGTAATCAATGGAGTAAACCGTGGAACATCTAGACAAAGGAATATTATTACCTGACGATAAAAGGGCCATCAAGTGATAAAAAGATATGGATGAATATTAAATACTATAGTGAATTAAGCCAATCCAAAAAGGCTATTTACCATACAATTTCAGCTATATGACATTCCAGAAATGGCAAAACTATGGAAATAGCTCAAGAATTAGTGGAGCCAGAGGTTGGGAGGAGAAAGGGATGGCGAAGGGGATCACAGGTGTTTTAAGAAAGTGAAAGTATTCAGTATGCTGAAGACAAGTCATTACACATTTGACCAAATCCATAAATAAACATAGAGATGAACCCTAATGTAAACTCTGGATTTGGAGTGATAACAGTGCATCAGTGTAAGTTCATCGATTGTAATAACTACATCACTTTGATGCAAGAAGTTGATAGTGGGGAGATTGGGCATATGTGGGAGCCAGGAATATATGTGACATCTCTGTACCTTCTGCTCAATTGTGCTGTGAGCAAAAACTACTGTAAAATAAATACATTTAAAAAAATCACTTTGGTGTCCACAGTCAGATACTGACAACATTTCAATTTCAATGTAGTATTATCTACAAATGTGTTCTGGGAGGTCAGCAACTTCTTTAGTTTGAAAAGCAAGACATTAAAATATGTCATAATTATTTTAAGTTGAAGGAAAACACCAAATATTTAATGAAAATTATTGGGTAAATATGTACAACTATTTGAAGAAAAAGTAATATTTCAATACTCTATGCGTGTGGTATACTTCTCTGGTACTTATTTTAAAATACGTTTTTGTTACAGTTACATCAGATTAATTCTTTCAAAGATTTTGCATTTTTCAAGACAATGAGTATAGAAAGAACATTAATATATTCTGAGATTTTAAATACTTAATAAGAAGGTGTAGCTGACCTTCAGGAATCATATTTTGTTAATTCCACAAAATAAGGAAAGTTCGATGTTTTGCCTGGTAGTAGCACTTTAACCATTGAGAGTGTAGGGTCCAGAGAATGTAATTTCCAAAGTAGGTTAATAATTACTTTCCACCAGCAGCTATCCCCTGGTTAACACATTCTTGCAACCCTGGTCATTATGAAAATTAAGCTTATACATGGTTTGGGGAGAAAGGAAGAAACCATCTGAAGGTGTACCCTTTGGAATACTTTTTCTGAAACTTCTTTGAATTCTGCAACTCTTCTGCAGAGGTTCAGTGAGGAGCATTTTGGGGAGATTATTGCACCAATGCCCATGTTTATCTTCAGACATAATTCCTATCCCCAGCTGCCACATACTGGGCATAGTTTTTGAAATTTTTATTTTTCCCCAGTTTACTTCCCATCTTTCATCTAAACTGCTGCTACTTCCAGCTAAGGGGTGGTTGATATTACCTCATTGAAATACGTTCTTGGTTCCTACACAGGGGGACTCATCAGTGTGAATTAAATCTTTGCCTGATGACTACATCTCCCAATCAGATCTTTTCAATATAATTTCTTCTAGACATTTCAAGGACATTTGATATGTCCTAAAATTTAAAAGAAAATGTATCAAAATTCATACCATGGACAAAAAAATCCTTTCCAAATCAATTATCAACATACCTGCAATAGTGGGAGACAGGAGTTAAGAGATTAGCATTCAGCTTGGAAGAATGTACTCCAAGTGTAAGGCAAAGAACAGGTAGGGTGCAGGAGGCAAAAAAAGGGAAGTCAGGAGGCTTAGTAAAATGTATGCAAGAGCTTATGGAAGCTTCAATATGGGTAGTGCGACAGTGGAGTGGAGTGAAAAGGGAAAGAGTCCTAAGATTTTTAGAAGATATTTAATGAGCAAAAGAAATCGGATTTGGTGGCTGATAAGAAATGGAAAACTTTAGACAAACCCTAATGCTGGCAATACTTACAAAAACTGAATAAATTATGGGGAAAATTATAAACTCTAACTGAAGGCATTAGAGATCAATATAAGAATAAAAACATTAGGGGTAATATGATCCTTAAAAAAAGAAAACTTTCCATGATGTACTCCAGATGTACCTGACTTTCTCCTTTGTGCTCAGAAAGATAAAGTCCAGGCAGACAATGACAATCTTACCAGACTGAAGAAGGAGGTCAGATGTTAGGAATGCAACAATGGTTGGAAATTGGGGTAGTGAGGGAACTTGGGGTGGGGGTAGAGGGTATGTTTAAATTCCCAAGAGAAGAAAGTCACAGAAATCCAAAATTTACATTAAAGTTCCCCATAAATTGTTGTCTAAGTCATAAACTATGTACATGCCAAGTGCAGCTTTAAGAAATCCAATGGAAAGCAACAAGGTGCAACTTCAAGAAATCCTTTGCAAAAAGCATACCAAAGATTTTAGAAGCTGCCACCACTGGAAAAGAAGTGTTTTGAAGCACACATTCCTCCAGGTAAAAAGGGCCTTGGTAAAAACCTCAGGTTTTTATTGAAAATCTCCAAAGGGCAGAAAAAACCATAGGCATAAGGGCAACATTAAACAAATCAGTTGCAATGAAACCTGAGTGTAATTCTCTACAGGGTCAAGGTGATCCTCCTGACTAAAGAAGCTTTAACCTCTTTGGAGAATAAGGTCTTTCACAGTCTCTATAATTCTTCTATCATAATTGTGTGTGCCTGACATCCAATAAGAAGTTATAAGACTTAATAAAAAACTAATTAATTAGATTCAAAATTGATTAGAAATCAACAAGTGGAAGAGACAAACAGGTAACTCTGATATTGGAATTTGCAGAGAAGGATATTAAAATAACCATATTAAATATGTCAAAGAAAATATAAGAAAAGACAGACAAAAGGGAAGAAAGTAAGCATTTTGATAGAAAAATTATAAACTATAAAAAAGTATAAAATCAACATTCAAAAATGCACAATGTTAAAATTAAGAACTTAGTAGATGGATTTAACAGCAAACAATAGAATTGGTGATATTGAATATAGGTATCAAATGATATTGAATATAGGCCACCAGAAAATATTCAAATTGAAGAAACCTCATCAATAATGATGCAAATTAGAATACTGGGATGTGCATAGAATTTAAGCTCCAAGGGAAATTTATAGAAATAATTGGAATATGGAAAATTTCAGCCACAAGGAAAACATCCCCACAAGGAATACTGGAAATAATTTTTATCTTAACTCGGTGTTATTACATGGGTGTAGATATAACTGAAAATGTATTGAACTCTGCAGTTAAAATAATTGAACTTATGTTACTGAAATCAGAATTTACTCAACACAAAATAAAAATACATCCCTAGATTGTCCTTCTCCACCCTACGGCCTTTGTTCCTGTCTCCTACTCTGCTCCTTGTCATTTTTCCCCACAATAAACTACCTGTTCCTACATCGTTCTCTTGCACTGTCCTTTATTTGATGAATCAAGGCTGAAGCAAAAACCTGTTATCTTGCTTTGTTTTTCGAACAGCCAAAAATGTTTTTATTTTCCCCTGGTCCTTGAATGCTACTGAGGTTGTTTATGAATTTTAAAGAATTTTAAAGCTATCGTATTTTAACCACCATTGTTGCCAATGAGACAAGTATCTGATGCAAATTTGATCTTTATTCACAAAATTTTTGCCCTCTCTACTTATTTTTAATCCTTTAAGTTCTGAAATATCACTACTATGTTTAGATTTTTCTTTCTGTTAACCATGTTTTAACTCTGGAGATACAAATCTTTCCTTAACTTTAGTAATATATAGCTTATATTATTTATCTACTATTTCTTTCACTTAAAGTTTCTAAATGGCTTTCATTTTCCACATTACATTTTCCATTACATTTTTTATTGAAGAAAAAAGGGAAGTTTAGACTTTCATAATTATGCTTTTTCTTATAAGAAAACAGAATGGTTCACACAATGTATGTTTTACAAACATTTTTAAAAAGTCATGACAGCTACCCACATCTGAACATGTATCACTAACACAACCACAAACATATCTAAGAAGCTCCTGTTAGCACTCAGGTTTTCCAAACCTTCACTAGACATTTCTACATAATTCCTTTCTGATCATCAAGAGATTTCCTAGCACAATGTCTACAACTTATGAGAATCCATGTCAGCATTTAAATTCTCCGTGTCTTGATAGAGTTCAAGAGTTCAAAATCAACAAGACACTTTTATTTTAAAATGAACTCATCAATTTTGGTCACAATGGAACGTCCTGTGATGGAATTTCTCTTGTTTGTTGTTGTCTGTATTATCATATATATATATCTATATCTATATACACACACACACACACACACACACACACACACATATATGCTTTTATTCATTCTTTGTATTCTTAATAATAGCACTGTGAAGTGGAAAGCCTAGATTTTAGATTTCATTTTCTTAGATTATCTGGTATAACAGAACCACATTTTAAGAACACTACTATAGAAACAATAAGTATCTTGTTTCTTGGCTTCAATTATTTTATCCAAACAAACCTGATTTGTCGACGGAAGAAATTTTTAGTTCAGTTTTACTTTTGCCTCTACATTTGCATTAATAAAATGGTGAATTTCTTATTTTATTCATTTGCAAATTTTATTTTCCTTTTAGTTTACAAAGATGCTGCATATGGTTATTAATTATGTTTACCCATCAACTTGTGCTTTTGTTATTCATCAGTGGCATCAGCAGAATCACTTAACGTTAATTAGAAATTAAGACCAAAGCAAGTATAGGTTAAGCTGTTGTATAAAAGAATTCAGTTGAACTAATCTAAGCCGAGTTGTATTTCAATGCTGTGAAGAAGCCTCTTATAGTTTGCTTGCTGATTTGCTCTAATTTGCTACTGCTCCTTCTGTGTGTGAGTGTTTATGCTTTTTTTTCCTTAGTGAAATGCCTTCAATTCAGAGGTGCTACTTGTATTATAATATGAAGATGATGAAGAATGTGTTGCAGAAGTATATCAAAGTGATTAATTCCAAACTAAAGTCAGTATTTTTTCCCTGTTTGCAGAGAGAGGAAAACAGGTGCCATGTGATTCTCTGCCAGAATATTGCTATATAAATAATCATGCTCTTTGAAAATAATACCTGTAAGTAAATCATTTCAAGATAATTTCAGTGTTTGTAGATGCCTCTTTTGAAGAAGCTTCAAAATATTTTACATTTGCCAACTGATGTTTAACCCTTTCTCATGCCAATTGAATTGGATGATATAGCCATGAGGATACTAGTAATCAAACCAGACGGGAGCCAGAAGAGCTGGGTTTTAATAGCAGCCATTGTATCTTACCTGTGTAGCAAATATTGTGAATATTTGAAAACCACTGTGACTGGATATTTTATTATTTAAATATATTTGTTTTCTTTTTTTTCCACTCTTTATATTACTGGTATTGACTCCATATGGGTGTGCAGCAACCTCAATTCTTGCCCCTTAGCAGAAATAATTTGATCAATGAGGCATAAGTTGAAGAAGAGATGGAAGGAAGTTTTAAAGCAGGAATCAAAGTTTATTAAAAAGCTTTATAGGGACATAAGGAAGGAAAGTACGCTTGGAAGAGGGCCATATGGGTGACTTGAAAGACAAGTACATGGTTTTTCTTTTTGACTTGGAGTTTTATATGTTGTCATGGTTCTGGGGTCTTGTGTCCCTTCTCCCCTGATTCTTCCCTGGGGGTCGGCTGTCCCCATGCACAGTGACCTGCTAGCAGTTGCGGAAGGAGCATGCACAGTCTATTTACTAGAGTTGTATAAATGCTCACATGAGGCATTCTTCCCTTACCAGTTGCATGCAACCCTAGAGCTCACCATTATCAGTAATTATAGCACTCCAGGATAAAACATTATGGACTCCCACTCTTGTCATTCAGTCTCCAATACTAACTTCCACTAGGACCTCCACTGATGCTATCACAATTTTTCTGTATAATGCTCACTCTCCCAACATAATTTGGGTTAGATAGTCCACTATCACAACCATCATGTTCAGCCTTGCTCCTTTGCCATTCTTATATCCCTATTTATTTTGTTGCAAACCCCAATCCTGCCTAAATCCATTCTTGTTTCTCCATTCCTGGATGCAGCTGCAGAAAAACACACAAACACACTGACTAATTACACCTAAAATGTATGACCCTAAGTTTTAAATGAGCCTGCAGAGTTCAGGCTTAACTTTCAAAAGGCAATTGAATGTTTATAGGATAGGAATAGGGGATTGAAGTTTCGTGGAGATGGGGGGAGCAGCACTGATGATTTAGAGAAGATAATCCTACAAAGCCTCACTGAGAAGGTGACACCTGAGCAAAGGCTTGAAGTGACCCATATGGACACTATGAGAAAGAGTAAAGGACAAAGACAGAACCAGTGCAGGACCAAAAGACACGGTATCTCCTGGCAAGTTCAAAATTGCACAAGAAGACTAATGAGGCTGAAGTTGAGTGAGTGAGAGGAAACTTGATGGTAATAAGAGAAGAAATGATCAGAAAGGTGATTGGGAACCAGATTCCAGAAATATATATAAGCAAATATTAGAGTTTTGAATTTAATCCCAATGAGAAGAGAAGTTATTGTGAGGTTGAAGACAGAAGACCGACCTGATCTGAATTTACATTATAAGCTGACCACTCTGGATGCTGTGTTGGGATAAGACTGTTGTAAACAAGAGAGGATTATTGCAGTAGTTTAGGTGAAAGACTGATGAATTAGAACAGGCTGAGAGAGATGGGCCAACACTTCCATCTCACAGTGAAGACAATCCTATGTTATCTTGTCAATCAAAGAACTTGCTGTAGTCATTGCCCCTCTCTTCTTGTCTCCCTCTTCAGGTTTCTTTCCATCAGCATATAAACAAGTTGTAGCATTCTCTTCTTAAATAATTCTACCAATAAAAATAAATCAAAGTATTTTATCACAAAGAGATTGTCATTTCTATTCTCCCTTTTAGGTCAAAAATCCCTGAAAAGAGGCCCTTATGTTTCCACTTTGTTCTTGTGGCTCCTGCACACAAACGACTCTGACTTTTTTTTTCACACTTTTCTGAAGAAGCTACCATCACAAACTTTGAAACTTCCATACTGTCAATCCCAGGGGATGACCTCTCAGCAGCTGAGTTGTTCCCTACTGCCTTTTTCCTCACATTAAAAAAAAAAAAAAACCTTAAGTATAAAACACCTTAAGTATATAATTTTAAAGCTCAATATTTACAGCAAGAATTTTAACAAAAGTAGAAATTCACTACCACACCCTGATGACCACTTTCAATGTTTTTAGCTATTTCTTCTATTTTTTCCATCATGTTTCTAAATGCCACAATCTTTTCCTATGTCTTGTCTATGAAACTGGGCCATTGGACCCGTCAAAGTGATCTTCACATGTTTTTAAAATAAACATATAACTTGACATTCCCTGTCTTAAAACTTGAAATGGCGTGTGTCTCATTCCTTCCTCAGGAAACCTACTCTCAGCCAAGGGACTGAAACACCAGATCATCACATCGATACAAGGAGCTGCCAGATCCTTTATTTGTCTTCCTTACCCCTTCCTAATTTCTATTTTCCTGCACAGTACACTGCTTCCCCACTGTATAAACTTCCAATTTTAGTTGGTAAAAGAGAGGAATTTGAGACTTATCTTCTGTTCTCTTGGTTGAGGTAATACTAATGAAACACTTTCTTCTCTGTGATTGGCTTTCTCTGTGGCAAGCAGTGGGTCCTACAGCAAACCCCTGGCATTTTGGTAACAATTATCCATGCTGTATTCACAATTTCTTTCATGCTATCTTCCCAATATCATCACGTTTTGGTTAATTAATATTTACTGACATTAGTCTGGGATTTAAAACTTAATCACACCTGAGTCACTTTCTATTTTTCTCTAGTGTCTTTTATATTGTCTCTTTTTCTCTTCTTTGTTTGATCCATTTTCTACATATCTATTATTAATTCATTCTCAAGATATCTGTCAGTTTATTAAATTTCCTCTCAACATGATTAAAATATATCAAGAAAATCTGCTATTTCTAATATATTTTCCTGAACACTTTCCTAGAGTCCTTTTGGCCCTAATCTGGATTAGATGCTCTGAAACATGATGCTGTTCTTGAGCATTCCTCCACATCTTCCTGAGGAGTTCCACAACCTCTCTGATGTACTGATCCTCTGTGTTCTTTTTTTTTTTTAAATTTTTTATTGGATTATAGGTTTTGGGGTACATGAGCAGAGCATGCAAGACAGTTGCGTAGGTACACACATGGCAGTGTGCTTTGCTTTTCTTCTCCCCTTCACCCACATTTGGCATTTCTCCCCAGGCTATCCCTCCCCACCTCCCCCTCCCACTTGCCCTCCCCTTTTCCACCCAATAGACCCCAGTGTTTAGTACTCCCCTTTCTGTGTCCATGTGTTCTCATTTTTCATCACCTATGAGTGAGAATATGCGGTGTTTCATTTTCTGTTCTTGTGTCAGTTTGCTGAGGATGATGTTCTCCAGATTCATCCATGTCCCTACAAATGACAGGAACTCATCATTTCTGATTGCTGCATAATATTCCATGGTGTATATGTGCCACATTTTTCCAATCCAGTCTATTATCAATGAGCATTTGGGTTGATTCCAGGTCTTTGCTATTGTAAACAGTGCTGCAATGAACATTCGTGTACATGTGTCCTTATAGTAGAACGATTTATAGTCTTTTGGATATATACCCAGTAATGGGATTGCTGGGTCAAATGGAATTTCTATTTCTAAGGCCTTGAGGAATCGCCACACTGTCTTCCACAATGGTTGAACTAATTTACACTCCCACCAACAGTGTAAAAGTGTTCCTTTTTCTCCACATCCTCTCCAGCATCTGTTGTCTCCAGATTTTTAATGATCGCCATTCTAACTGGCGTGAGATGGTATCTCAATGTGGTTTTGATTTGCATCTCTCTGATGACCAGTGACGATGAGCATTTTTTCATATGATTGTTGGCCTCATATATGTCTTCTTTCGTAAAGTATCTGTTCATATCCTTTGCCCACTTTTGAATGGGCTTGTTTGTTTTTTTCCTGTAAATCTGCTTGAGTTGTTTGTAAATTCTGGATATCAGCCCTTTGTCAGATGGGTAGACTGCGAAAATTTTTTCCCATTCTGTTGGTTGCCGATCCACTCTAGTGACTGTTTCTTTTGCCGTGCAGAAGCTGTGGAGTTTCATTAGGTCCCATTTGTCTATTTTGGCTTTTGTTGCCAATGCTTTTGGTGTTTTGTTCATGAAGTCCTTGCCTTCTCCTATGTCCTGGATAGTTTTGCCTAGATTTCCTTCTAGGGTTTTTATGGTGCCAGGTCTTATGTTTAAGTCTTTAATCCATCTGGAGTTAATTTTAGTGTCAGGTGTCAGGAAGGGGTCCAGTTTCTGCTTTCTGCACATGGCTAGCCAGTTTTCCCAACACCATTTGTTAAAGATGGAATCGTTGCCCCATTGCTTGTTTTTGTCAGGTTTATCAAAGATTGTATAGTTGTATGTATGTTGTGTTGCCTCTGGTGCCTCTGTTTTGTTCCATTGGTCTATATCTCTGTTTTGGTACCAGTACCATGCTGTTTTGATTACTGTAGCCTTGTAGTATAGTTTGAAAACCGCTGGTGTGATGCCCCCCGCTGTGTTCTTTTTGCTTAGAATTGACTTGGCTATGCGGGCTCTCTTTTGGTTCCATATGAAGTTCATGGTGGTTTTTTCCAGTTCTGTGAAGAAAGTCAACGGTAGCTTGATGGGGATAGCGTTGATTCTGTAAATTACTTTGGGCAGTATAGCCATTTTCACAATATTAATTCTTCCTAACCATGAACATGGAATGTTTCTCCATCTGTTTGTGTCCTCTCTGATTTCGTTGAGCAGTGGTTTGTAGTTCTCCTTGAAGAGGTCCCTTACGTTCCTTGTGAGTTGTATTCCAAGGTATTTTATTCTTTTTGTAGCAATTGTGAATGGCAGTTCGCTCTTGATTTGGCTTTCTTTAAGTCTGTTATTGGTGTAGACGAATGCTTGTGATTTTTGCACATTGATTTTATATCCTGAGACTTTGCTGAAGTTGTTTATCAGTTTCAGGAGTTTTTGGGCTGAGGCAATGG